CTGTCTTATTAAAATGGAACTTTAAGGATAGCTCTGCCTTGGACTCTGATTTAATTCTGCATGATATTTGGAATGCTGACACCTAGATCATGTATGGTGTTTTTTTAATGCCCTGTTGAGATCCTCGGTGCTCTTGTAACTCACCTGGTCCGATGCCATAGCTCAGGATGTAGGCAAAGATGCAGGCCATGCTGAGATAAGGCATCCAGCTGAGGTGGTCCTGCAAGGCCAAAAGAGTGGTGGGGCAGATGGGGGAAAGAAGGAAAATGGGCAAATTAGGAAGTGTCCAGCATGTGAACCTTGCTAAATTGGAAGGCCTGGGGTCCTTCAACCCAAAGGAACAAAGAGGCACTCTTACCTGTAGAGATAACGCTACCATGAACAGGATGGCCCAGGTGGCCATGAGGCTGTACCCCACTATGAGCAGCACCCGTCGCCCAACACACTCGATGAGGAGGTTCTGGAAGGCAGCATTATAGGGAAGCCCCTTAATGGAGCTAGAAAGGGAATGGAGATTTTACAGTATCCTTCCCCCAGGAATGTGGAGCGACTGGGGATTTTGCAGCATCCTTCCCCTGCCACATCCACCAAGCCACGCCCACCAAGCCATGCCACACCCAAAGAACCAGTAGTAAAAAAAATTGAATTTCACCACTGTCCAAGAAGTGCTGTTTACTGAAAAAGATTTGGTTTCTACAAGTCATATAGATAATGTGATACTTCACCCAATAAAAAAAGGAATAGCACAATACACATAAAATGGGAAGAAACTGTCTTGAGATAGAAGGAAGATTTTCAGAACAAAAGAGACACCTGGGACCATTTTGTTTTAGAGCCTGATCAGCTAAAGCTGATTTACCTGCAAGTCAAAGAATTCACTGGTCATGAATGTGATAAGAATATGATTGCTATTCTTGTGAAAAGGAAAGGAAGAAAGGGCAGCCTTTGGTCACTCCATAGTTGGACTGGCCTGCTCTATGCAGCAAAGCAGAAACATGGCTAAGGTAAATCAGAAGACAGGGATTCAACTTCAGATGCCTGCAAAACAGAGCTGGTGTTCAGCCAGTTCTGACAGGTTCTGGAGAACCGGTAGTGGAAAATTTGAGTAATTCAGAGAACCAGCAAACAGCCTGCTGCCTCCCAGCTGATCTTTTGTTGTCCTGAACAGGAGAATGGAGCTGGAAAGCAAGTTAGTGGGATGAGGAGGGAATGGGGATTTTGCAATATCCTTCTCCTGCCATGCCCACAAAGCCACACCCACAGAACCAGTAGTAAAAAATGTTGAATCCCACCACTGCTGCAGAATGGCCTGTAACAGGAAGTTGTTTCATACTTAATGTTGTGATGTTAAAGGCCCAAGTGCACATGTCTACGTCTCTGGCCAAACCTTGGGTTTATCAGAACTAATCACAAGCAGTGCTGCTCTTAATACAAGCTGTGAATGTGAATTCCTGTCTGTCTTTTGGATCTCACTAAAAGTTACTTTTCTGGGGGGCAGTTGCTGACATCTAGTCAGAGCACACCTCCAGTGATAAAGGTGTGACTTGGTGCTCTCTGAGCTTGGTTCTTTTCTTTCAGCCATTTCATTACCCAAAATATGTAATATCATCAGTGTTAGTAAAGAATGGCATTTGCTCTCAGTTTATATTCTAGTGGTTTGCCCTGTTAGTGTTGGTGGAAGTGGTCTTGGAGGTTCTTTGGTTGAACTGTTTACTGTTGGCTTATTTCGCAATTTCTTGATTGAGTCATTGCTTACTTCTTGATTGATGGTATGATATTAAACTTGAGATTAATCTATGCTCATCTGGGCATTGATTGCTGATGGGGAGGTATTTTGGTCTTTTTGTTCCCTTTTTGACATTGATTGCCTTTTTAGCAAAGCATGTAGATGTTGTAAAATCCAATCTGAGTCAGTCACAGGGACTAAAGGTTTATTCTTCCAAGCTTTAGCAAGGGTTTATTCTTCCAAGCTTATGTAGATGTTGTTTATGCCTATGTGTCTATTGATGGCTAATTTGTTAGAGTGCCAAGCTTCCAGGAATTCGCTTGCATTTTAGGAAGTGGCTTGGTCTAGGGTGGTCACTATTTCCCAGTTGAAACTATGGTTAAGTCTATCCATATATTGTGAGATTGAAGAGTTTTCATCATGCCTTCTGACTACTGGTTGATATTCATGAATGTGTTCTACTAGTTTTCTCCCTGTTTGTCCTACATGTTTCAATTCTGAGCTACAAATGTTCTATTTTATCAGTACCTTCAGTGGTACCAGGTCCCGAGTCTTTTTATACAATAGTCACAGTAGGGTTAGGGTTGACCATCAATTTAATTTGAAATCTTCACTCTTTGAGCAGAAAGATACAAAGCACTTGCAGCTAGAAATTCCAGGGCATAGATGTAGAGGTCTCATTCCCTAGGAGCCTAGGACTTGGAGATCTGTTGTTGTGGCTGCAATTTGTCCCACCCTGCCACTCCCATCCTCATCACATTTACACCGATCACTCATGATTTCATAAAGGGCCTCATCATGAGATATAATTAAATGGAATCCCCAACTGTCCAAGATACCTGCCTACATGTTAAGTGACCCATAGAGTTGGGATCTCAAAACATTGAGAGGAATCAAGCTTTCCCTAGTGGATACCTTTGATAAGCACACGGTGTGACCAATGTGGTGAAGGCTACAGGGACCTTATACAGCAACTGACAAGAATAGATCTCCAATGCACCAGTTTAGCACCTGACTTCCCAATTTAGCATCAATGGCAACTATACACATAATTCTCTGGGCTGACATGATGGGTCTCCTTCCTACAGGGAACAAGAGCTGAGGCAGTGGTGGGTTTCAAAAATTGTTTGAACCTACTCTGTGGGTGTGGCCTCCTTTGTGGGAGTGGCTTGCCACCCATGTGACCGGATGGGAGT